CTAACCACTCGGCTACACTGCCACGAGTACTGGTAGTCTCGAAACCCTACTCTAATACTCTTATATATACTCACAACTAAAAAGAAACACGAATAGGCATAGATACATATCGGATGTTTTGGCTTTATCTTTCCTACTAGTTCTATTAGTTTTCTTCTAGTGTGCATGTTTGCACGTACGTACATATGTATATAATGTATGTATGTATGTATGTATGTATGTATGTATGTTTGTTTGTTTGTTTGTTTGTTTGTATGTATGTATATATATATGTATGTATGTATGTATGTATGTATGTATGTATGTATGTATGTATGTATGTATGTATGTATGTATGTATTAAGACTTAATGGCTCAAGAAAAAGCCCTGACCAAGCCTACGTAAGTCCGTAAGCAATTATGCTTCAGAAATAGAGATGTATGGTTGTAAGTGTGCAAGTCAGGTTACGAAACCACTTGGTACATCTAGTTTGGTTGATGAGCTTATTCTAAGATGTTGGACGAGTGCGAGTGTAGTTAGACCCATCACTGAGCGGACAAGTTGACTCGCATTTTTTGGATTGCGATTCTCTCTTTTCATCTACATACATGTTCGCTTTTTTTTCATGAGTATATATTAGAGGTAAGCTAGAGCCGGTTAGTATTCTTCACATTATGCTTGTTAACGTAAGACTTTTGTAAGAATGAGTTCTAGCCATGATGATGTCTCTCAAATGATGGAGGAAAGCTCAGCCTCCTTTCAACCGAAGCGTGGGAGGATGTCTCGTGGACTGCGTCAACCTAAGCATCGTTGCAGAGCCAAATGGCTGTAGTACGACGGGATTCAGCTGTTGTCTGTCCTTATACACTTTCATATGAAACTAAGGTCTCCCCAACGGTGTTATCTCAGGAGATTAATCGAAACCCAGTCACTTTTAAATATTCTTGTATTCCCTCTTTTATAAATCCTCATCAGTGTCTTGTAATTTCGACGTTGTTTACCTTTTACATAAGCTGCACTAAAAGATCTGAGAGGAAGGCATATATTATTTTGACTTCCAAAAAGGGCATTATCGTGACGGAACCTCAAACTGAGGCATCCTTGCTTACCCAAATTTCATCGAGAGCAGATTTATAGTTTTTTGGTCTACTTATCCTAAAAAAGTTGTCTTGCCTATTCAAGATACCGATTGTAATCTATTTTTATTATTAATTTTTGGGTTCGACTATTCATGCTGGAACTTTTTCTGAAGAGATATCAAAATACAGAGTATTTTTCACGAGTGAGACGACAAAATACACTTCTGCGTTTTCAGAATATCGAATTTATTCAACTGTTTTCTTATTCATATGCATAATAGGCTAGAATTAATTGAACTTTAAAATAGATTGTCTACCAGTATACGATTACTGGCCAGTTGAAACGAGAGTTTGAATTGACAAACGCCTAAAGTCAAATATAAACTCTGTTTTACAGAAGATATAAAGACCAAGATGGCCCTTGATATTGTCACAGTCTCCTTTAGATTTATAGAAGTTGGTTGACCTCGTTTTCGCAACTTAGCCTTGTTGTCAAGGCGATTTAGAATAACACAACTTGTCCGAAGTCCAAGTTGTTTAACAGAGTTAAAGTATCATGCTAATGGTATACTAAGTGATTATCGACTAGACTAATCATTCAAAATAGTAAATTGATCTCTGCTTGTTTAATTTTGATTTTCGGATACCACATTTTTTGCTTCAAAAAGCACTTCCGGGTAATGTCCAACTTATCAGTTCACTTTTAATTTTTTATAATATTTTCTCAACCATTCTTTTTCTGAGTTCTTCCATTTTATTTATTATGATTAGTGTTGTGCACTAAGACTTTTATACTTATCTAATGATTCCACTTTTTATTCTCTACTATCGAAACTGTTAAATAGAAGCCACTTGGTCTGCCGGTCTCATCCTGTGATTCATCTGTTGCCAGCACAATCTCTTCCGCCACTACATCTTCCTCCTCTCTTCCCTTCACCAATGGCCTGCTCTCTCAATCGCCCCATCCTGATCCCATCACCAGCCGACATTGGCCCGCTTTGCTCCTTCGGCTGCATCGTTTGTTGCCCGATAGGCCTGGCTGTGCTGCCGGCTCCGAGCCCTATGGAGACACGCGGATGCAACTTGAAGAGCCTCCGGAATGGGACGAGGTCAGTATGACAGGAAATCTGCTTCCTCCAGCTTTGCCTGTTATTTATGGCCATCTGTTGCTGCGTCTATTACCACTCCTTGAGATCTTCTTTGCCCAATGCCTTGAGGTGGCACCACCACTCACCAAGCTTGTTCGCTTCTGCAGGCTAGTGCAGCCACTTTTCCGTTTTCACCGTAAGTAGCTCTTTTATTTCTTATTTTTTCCGTCCAATTACACCATCCCAAAGGCATTCTA